AATAATATTAATAACTCCATCAGTTATTAATTGCTTGACATATTCATGTCTTAAGCTAATGTGTCTAGACTTTCCATTGTATACATTATTGTATGCCCTAGACAAAGTAGCCTCACTATCACAGTATAAAGATATGGATGACATTGGTTATGACCACAACTCTATTTCCAATAACAAATTTATAATCCATTCTGCTTCTTTACCTGCTGCCACTAATGTTATAAATTCAGATTCCATAATTGAATGTGCTATACATGTTTGCTTCTTTGAAGCCCAAGAAATTGCTCATCCGGCAATTGTAAAAATCCACCCTGATGTAGACTTATTATCATTAGCACTTGTTATCCAACTTGCATATAAATATCCTTCAAGTATTGCTGGAAACTCAAGTATTGCATATAAATATCTTTCCAATGGGCATTACCTGGATAACTAGTGTATCTAGGAAGTTTGCTTACTGCAAATGCGATATCTGGCTTGGTGCAATGCATGGCATACATTAAACTTCCGATTACACTAGCATACTCAAGCTATGCAACGGACCTACCAGAATTATTAAGCAAAGTCTCACTAGGGTCATAAGGCGTATTTGCTTCTTTTATTTATAGATGCTTAAACTTAACAAGCAATTTTTCTTTATAATGTAACTGGCACAAAGCGTAACCTCTATTATCCTTCTTTACTTTAATTCACAAGATAATATCTACCTCATTCAAGTCTTTCATTTTGAATTTAGATACTCTTTAATTTCATATACACCTTTCATGTTTGTACCAAAAATTAGCAAGTCATCGATATATAAACATATAACAACACTATAATCATTTGTGAATTTAGAGTATATGCATTTATCAGCACTGTTATGTCTAAATCCATATGATAAAATGACAATATCAAACTTTTCATGCCATTGTTTTGGTGCTTGCTTCAATCCATATAATGACTTGACTAATTTACAAACTTTCTTTTCATTCCCAGGGAAAACAAACCATTCTGGTTGTTCCATATAGACTTTTTCATCTAAATCACTGCCGTTTTCACATCCATTTGATGCACATGCAAAGAGATGCCAATGCAAACAATATTCTAATTGATGTGAGCCTAGCTACTATTGCATATGTATCGAAATAGTATATTCCTTTTTTTTTCTTAAAACTCTTGGCAACTAGCCTGGCTTTAAATGTCTGAATAGACCCATCTATATTGTATTTTCTTCTAAACACCCACTTACAACTTATTGATTTTGATCATTAGGGCAAGTCTACTAAAACCCATGTCTGATTAGATATTAATGATTCTAATTCATCATCTATAGCCTCTTTCCAAAAGGCTGCATCTCTTGAAGTTCATGCTTCATTTAGACTTTTAGGATCATCCTCAACATTCAACAATATGAGTATTTTCTTAAGAGCCCCTTTTTTTTCTATTTCCTTCGACTAAAAATACAATAGATTGAGATGAAATAAAATCAGAGCCTAGAGTCTTTTCTTTTCTTACCCTTTGACTTTTCCTTGGTTCATTAATAGTTTCAGACTGTTTTCTTTTTTCACCTTGAGAATGACTAGTAGCTGGATTAGAGAAAGGTGTTTGATCATTCTCTTTTCCAGACATTGAGTAGTCGTTATAAAATTTATTTTATATAAAATCAACATCTCTAGACTCAACTATTGTGTTTGAGTCTAAATTAAGCAACCTATATGCCTTTGAATTATCTGCATATCCTACAAATATACTTTTAATTCCATTTGGACCCAACTTGGATCTCTTAGGATCGAGTGTCTTATAAAAAGCTACACAACCTCATACTCTCAAATATGACAAATTTGGTTTTCTTCCTTTCCAAATTTCATATGGTGACACATGTGTCTTCGTAGAAGCAATTCTATTGTGTATATGGCATGCATTAAACAATCCTTCACCCCATAAATATTTTGAAGTATTAGCATTAATCATCATAGAATTAATCATTTCAGTGAGTGTCTTATTTTTTCTTTTTGCTAAACCATTTTATTGTGGTGTATAGGGTGCAGTTCTTTGATGTATAACATCATGCTCTTCACAAAAAATATCAAATTCATGTGAAAAATATTCATCACCCCTATCACTACGGAGGCCTTTAATTTTCCTTCCTTTTTGATTTTCAACTTCAGCTTATAGCGCTTAAAACATTCAAAAGCTTCATCTTTATTAGACAAGAAATAAACATAAGTGTATTTAGAATAATCATCTACAAATGTGATAAAATATCTTTTTCATTCTCTTGTTAAAACACCATTAAATTCACATATGTCAGAATGTATTAAATCTAATAAATTTGTATTTCTTTCGGCAGTTGGAAAAGGTTTCTTAGTCATTTTCACTTGAATACATGTTTCACATTTATCATTGTAATCATCATTGCAAGCAATTAAACCAAGTGTGCGCATGTATTTTAAGGATCTAAAATTTACATGAGCTAAACATAAATGCTATAAATGAGAGGAAGATTCAACAATATAAGTAGAAGAATTCACTTTATTATTAATACTTATTTCATCCCATCACAAGAATACCCCTTCCAAACAAACATTCCATTTTTCAACATTATTAACTTGTCAGACTCTAGAATAGTCTTTATACTATTCTTACATAATAAATTTGCAGACACAAGATTCTTTCTAATTTCTGGAACATGTAGTACATTAAGCAATGTCAATTTCTTCCCAGATGTAAATTGAAGTTCAACGGTTCATTTTCCTAGAACTTTGGCAGAATTATGATTCCCCATTAAAACCTCTTGATTGTCCGTTGATACTTCATATGTCTTGAATTGTGCCTTGTCATTGCACACATGTATAATAGCCCCTGAGTCGAACCACCAATCAAACGATTTTATTGCCGCTACCATATTCAATTCGGTAATCATGCAAATATGCATCATTGATACCATTGCAACAATGTTATCAATTCCAGAGTTTTCCACCATATTTGTGCTATTAGTCTTATTGGCATATTCCTCACTCGCTGTTCTGTGTCTACAATCACGAATGTAATGACCTTTCTTTCCATAATGGTAGCAGACACCATTTGCATCCCTTTGATTGTTGTTGGAATTGGTCTTCTTAAACTTCCCTTTGTCAAATTTGACTTTGAAGTTCTTTTTGTATTTGTTTCCTATGACAATGTGAACTTTAGAGGAATCTTGATTTGCAAAATTCTTATCACGATTTAGAGTTTCCTCTTGAATTTGAATACCCTTTTGTAAATCCTCCAAACTAATATCTTCCACCATGTGTAGAAGTTTCTTTCTATAGTTATTCCATTTTTGGGGTAATTTTGCCATAATAGCCCCAACTATCATAGGATCCGGAATAACTATTTTAAATTCACGAAACTTTGAGACCAAGACCAAGGGTTTGTTATCAAACATAATGAACTCATAATATTTAAACATTAAAAATTTATTGGTACATCTTTTCTCCGTTGTGTACTTGTGTTCAAGTGCTTCCCAAATTTCTTTTGGAGATTGAATATGTGTGTACAGGTCATATAAGCGATCAGATAATGTGCCCAAGGTGTGTCCTTAACATACCAATTCATCTTCTTCACGCTTCTTTTGATCGGCAACTATTTTGTTCGGGTCTTTCAAGAATAGGCTCCAATTTCGGGTCCAACACATATATGACATTTAGAACAATAAGCATGAAACACATCTTATCCTTCCATCGGGAGAAGTTTGATCCATCAAATTTGTCTAGCTTGTAGATATCTTGATTGATAATCCTCAAAGCCATGTTATCACACTTGTTCTCCATGACGAAAATAACACTTTAAGATTGTTAGAGTTAGTGTAGAAATATAAAGAATAATCCAAATGATGACTTTGAGGTACGACTTGAATCGTTTTCTTAAAGTGTTATTTGCCCCCACTCGAATGAGTTTGCTTAAGGGTTCTTGGCAAATCACTTCCAGGATACAACAAAGTATGAAATGTTCGATTAGCAAAACCGAATTATATTCCCTTAGAAATAACTAGAAAGAAATTGTATGAATGTGATGGAGAGAGAAGAAAACAAGGAATGTAGAAACAAATTTCTGAAATTGTGAATGAAACATTATGCCACAATAGGTATTTATATGCATTAAAGCACTTGTTCATCGAGTCCCTTCATTTTAGTTGACGATATATAACCCTTCTTAATAATGTTGACCCAAAAGACATGTCTTCTATTTAGAATTTTCAGACAATAAATATTGATTAATTACATCTTTTAATTTTACTCATACAATTTGAATAAGCATCATGTCTTTTAACTAAAAGTTGCAACCATTCAACAAATATACAACCGTAAAAGGTTGAATGAAACCCAACCTTTTACGGAAGGTTGCCGCCCATACAAACACATGCTGCACAATGCAACACCAAGTCAAATATACATGGTCAAATATACATACATACATACATACATATATATATATATATATAATTTATATATTTATTATTGAAATCTCTAACACTAAACGTTGATGTCAATAAAGAGGAATGCCACAACCTGAATACTCAACCTCCATACATATACATATATATGTATATATATATATAATAATAATTTATATATTTATTATTGAAATCTCTAACACTAAACGTTGATGTCAATAAAGAGGAATGCCACAACCTGAATACTCAACCTCCTGAGCAGGGGGTAAGGAAGAAACCCAATCAGATGCACAACCCCAGTCCAGTGTTAAGCTTTCAAAATCCCAGAGCTAAACCCCCCATATTAAGGACAATGAAGAGCAACTTTGGCGTCCTTGTAGAGCTCAAAAACCTTCCCTAACCCCAGTAAGGCGCTTCACAAAAAAGAGCGGAAGATGTAATTCCAATGCTAAAAATGCACCGTACTCCCAGAATTTCACATTGTTGTCGGAAAGATGCACACAACGAATTTAACGGTTCAAAGTACCTGTGACTATTTAACTATAGCTTAGAGACTTGGACTTTTTCACTCTGTAAAAATTTCTTAAATAAATAAAGCTTATATTAGAGGGATATAATTGGAGGAAGATAACATTGCAGTTGCAGATTACAAGGAAAATGCACATGGCAATTATTGGTAACAAAGTTCGACTTTAAAAACAGAGACCACTCACCTTTATTCAGAAAAATAAACTAACGGAAATGCCAACCCTACATTAAAAGTTGGCTCTTTTAGCGACAACAAACCGCAGTTTTACTTGGCTGAGAAACTGTGATTAACCACCGTGAATCCGCCATCGACAACCAAGTTGTGTCCACTGACATAGCCTGATTCATCGGTGGCAAGAAACAGAGCCGCCTCCGCCACATGCCTAGCCTTCAACACAACGCCCTTCAAATTTCCCTTGGCGGAGATACTGGCCTCAGCCACATCTGGGTCCACATTGTACGCTTTGCATGAAAACAAGGTTGCGACACCAAACGGAGAAATGCTGTTAACTCGAATCCCGTGAGCTCCGAGCTCACTGCAAGCTGCTCTGACCAAACCCAATAGAGCATGTTTCGAAGTGGTGTAAGCCTGCGGAGCTGTGCCTCCGAGAGATGCTGCAATGCTTGTGGTACATATGATTGAACCACGCACGGCACGTGCCACCATGGCTCGCGCCGCGTGCTTGAACGTTGCAGCAACACCGCGAACGTTTATGGCCATTGTGTTGTCAAAGCCTTGAATGTCAAGGTCTAAAATGCCAGTCATTGAACCCATGACACCTGCATTGCTGAACAAAATATCGAGGCTGCCGTAGTTTTCCAACGTGAAGTTCACAGTATTTTCAACTTGGTTTTCATCTCTGACGTCGCAATGACAATAGCTAACTCTGTCTGAACCGATTGAGGCAACAACTTGATGACCTAATTCGTCTAGGATATCTGCAATAACAACAAAGGCTCCATTTGCTGCAAATAGTCTCACTGCTTCCTCACCAATCCCCCTTGCCCCACCAGTTATCAGGGCCACCTTGCCCTCCAACCTTCAAATTAAAATTTAAGATTAAGCTATGGTATGTCTATATATTTGTAAATTAAACTCTCGGTATATCCTTAATAAACAATATTATATGAACTTGAAAGTGCTTGTGGGAGATATTCAAATTAATCAAAGAAGTTGAAGGTTGAGAAAAGAAGATTTGGGAAATATATTTCTTACCTTGGCTTAGACATTGGCCGATGAGGTTGTGTTTGTCCACTGATACGGGTGTGCTCAAACTTCCAAATAAGTCTCTTGCTGTTTATAATGCTCCCATGGTCTCACACACCATATTTATAATATTTGCTAGGCTGCACAGCTAATGCCATACACGTGTGGAATAAATAAGGGTAATGTTAAGAAGACTAAATTTGTAGTCTTATTTTTGTAAACTAAATGATATGAAAGTAGACGATTAGTTTATTACTTAAGTGTTGGTAAACGTGCCTATTTCCTATTGGTGACACATTATTTATTTTTCAAATTTAGTCTATAAATTTAGTTTACATAACATTACTCAACAAATAAAGGGTAATACTAGAGAGACCACATTTTAAAACTAAATTTTGTAAACCAAATGATGTAGTTGTTCATAATTGAATTATTATTTAAGTGTTGATTAACGTGTTTATTTTTCATTGGTGACCCATCATTTGGTTTACAAATTTATAAACCAAACGATAATAAACATGTTAATCAACAGAGTAATAATCCAATTATGAACAACCACATCATTGGTTTACAAAATTTAATTAAAAAATTTGGTTTCCGTAACATACATGTATAGCCTATAAGCATGTGTTGGAACTTAGGAACCCAGATCCTCTCCGGATCTGGGTTCGGAACTTAGAGGCTATTTGTTTTTCTACTTTAACTCAATAGACCTTACTTTGTCAAAATAGATCTTACCTTAAGTGAGGAGTTAATTTTTACCCACCATTTACTTTTTTTCACTACCTATTTTATTTATTGTTATTAGATTAAACAAATCAAATAAAAACAATTATCATAATTAAACAAGGGTGTGTAGGATGACAAAAAGAGTATAAGAGGACAAAAGGGTGTTTTTATCATTTTTTTATGTGATACATGTAACTTTCACTTTGTATTCTAAGTGAATAGTTACTTTGAGATAGTCCTGACTCATCAGAGTTAGCCCCAAGTAGCAGCGGCGGTTTGGAAAATGAGTTAGCAGACCTACCTAAGTCTACGTCAATATCTGTTAAGATGAATAAACTCCAAGAGAGAGGATCCTCGCCGAATCCTGTTTATGAGAATTTCGAAGATCTTCCAATCACATACGTTCATCGTACATCGTGCGACCAGTTTTTGTAAGGTATTGTTTATATTTAACTTTAAATAAAAAAATTTACAATAATTTATGATCACACGATGTACGATGAACAAATGTAATTTGAAGCTCTCTGAAATCCTCACAATGAGGATCTAGTGAGGATTCTCCCTCAAACTCCAAAACCAAACTTCAGGCCAAGTCAAGCTTTAAATTAATAGTTAAAAGCTAAAAGTTATTAGGTTAATTTTGCCACTTAGTACTATAGTCTAGTAGTATTCTCCTTTACTTGTAAGTGAAAGGTCTTAGGTTCGATTCTTACCAAAAACAAATTTGAACCGCATTATTGCTAGCCCAATATGAGGTTAAGTCTACCCTCTTCCCTTGTAGATAATATCGTTTGCTTTAAAAAAAATGATTAGTTTAGTTTTGACGTCAAATTTAACTCCAAATGTAATATCATCTCTAAATGCACCTTAAAATGGAGTCAAATACAGTTTTTGGAGTTAAGTTTATAATAAATATAACTTTGCATTTTACTCAACTTTTCTGATACATTCGAGAGAAAGTTGAAGCAAAAAGTTATATTTAACTTTTACATTTCATGTCATTGGAAGCATTCTAAGAGATTATATTTGGAGTTTTTAAACGGTAATCATTAAAACTAAAATCTAACTGATAAAAAGTCCAAAATACTTTATACCCCGTAGCACCATAAATTTTTTAGGTATGAAACCGGGTTTGGTTGTACTTGTCTTAGCTTCACTAGATGAAGTACCAAACTCACATAAAGATGGTGAAAAAAATAGCTTTGTATATATTCTTAGCCCATCACTAGTATTGCTTTAAGGGAACTTTCATGAAGAGGGCTTGGATCAAGTTTATTTTTAACAAAAAATTATGTTTATAACTTTATTTAATGAAAAAGACTTAAATTTTAATGAAAAATCCTTAAATTTTAATAAAAATGACAAAAGAACTTAAATTTTAATGAAAAAGACATAATTTTAATAGTAAAAAAATAATATGACGTGCTTACCCACATGTCCTCACATTTTTTATGAAACATACGACATTGTTTATGAAACTTATGACACTGTTTATGAAAACTTATCACACTATTATGAAACTTACAATACTGTTTATGAAACTTATTATATTGTTAATTCAAACGTGCCACGCAGAGTCTTCCAAAACATGGACATGGATATCATTCTGGGTCGTTGTCACCTTCGGTGATTACAAAACCAGTATGCGCTTTTGACAAGGGAAGAAAAGCAAGGAAAGCCTGTCGTAGTAATATTGGTGGGTGCGCCTAGAACTGGCAAGTCCACCTTCTGCGAACGTGTCATGCGCTCCTCCTCCACTCTCCCTTGGGTACACGTTTGCAGGTATATCTCAGTACTTAGTATGACACTCTCCTCATTTCTGTCCATTTGGGTTTGTTTATGCTGTTATATTTTTGTAGGATACTATCAAAAATAGTAAAGCCGAAACGAAAGCGCATTGTATAGCAAGAACAAAGTGATGAGTTTGTGAAGCTTGGTGGTAGTGCCCAGGTTGATGTTCATGTTGTGGTGCTTGATCTTCCCACCAAGCTTTGTATTTCGTGGGTCTGTGAAGGGAACGGGCCATGAAGGAAACTTGCAAGGTGGGAGAGCTGCTGCGGTTGTGAATAGAATGACGCTGAAGAAAGAAATGTCTAAGTGGTAGTTGGTTAGAAGCGAAGTTGTCTGATGGAGTTTTGGGGGGGGGGGGTCGGGACGCTCATACAGCGCCATTTTTATTTTGGGTTGTGATTTTCACACACCCTTAACCACCTTTCCCACACCCCTCCCTATTTTTTAATAGTTAATTGGTATCCTACTATTTAATCTTCCATACATATCCTTCCTACTTTTTTATGGTAATTAATGAAAGATTAAATAGGGAGGGATATATATGGAAGATTAAATAGTAGGATACCTATTAAGTACTAAAAAATAGAGAAGGGTGTGGGAAAGGTAGTTTAGGGTGTGTGAAAATCACAACCCTTTTTATTTTTTATGTTTTTTTTATTTTTTGTCTTATCATTAAATAAAATGTAAAGATTTGAAACCCTTTTCATTAATTTTTCTTTGCGTTAAAGAGTGTGGAAGGTCATATTGGTTTCTAAAATATTATTTTCTAGTGTGTGTGGTGTCACATCCCTGTCCGGGCCCCCACCACATCCCGACCTCGATTCCACCGTAGCACGATATTGTCCATTTTGATCTCCGACCACGCCCTCACGGTTTTGTTTTTAGGAACTCGCGCGAGTAGAACTTCCCAATGGATCACACATCCTGGGAATGCTCTTGCCACTTTTCTCGCTTAACTTCGGAGTTCCGATGAAATCCGAAGCCAGTGAACTCCCAAAAGGCCTCGTGCTAGGTAGAGATGAGAATATTCATATAAGGCTTACAAGATCCATTCCCCTAGGCGATGTGGGATGTGACAATCCACCCCCCTTAGGGGCCTGACGTCCTCGTCGGCACACTTCCAGCCAAGGATTGGCTTTGATACCAAATTGTCACATCCCGGCCCGGGCCCTCACCACATCCCGGGCTCGACTCCACCGTAGCACGATATTGTCCGCTTTGGGCCCCGACCACGCCCTCACAGTTTTGTTTCTGGGAACTCACGCTAGCAGAACTTCCCAGTAGGTCACCCATCCTGGGAATGCTCTGGCCCCTTTCTCGTTTAACTTCGGAGTTCCGATTGAACCTGAAGCCAGTGAGCTCCCAAAAGACCTCGTGCTAGCTAGGTAGAGATGGGAATATACGTATAATGCTTATAGGATCCAATCCCCTGGGTGATGTAGGATGTTACATGTGGTCTCGATTGCCTTTTTTTCCCACTTGTAACTAACAACCCATGACAACATACTAATGACTCGTTTACGTAACGGTAATCAAAATTCAAGGAATTAAATTGAGAAAGAGTTGGAATGAGAAGGAGTCAAAATCAGATTTTTGTTCATACTGTTTAGTTAAATGTTCTAGAATCAGAATAGAAATGACACTGATTTCATAAAACTGTTTACCAATTCAGCAGAATCGAAATATATACCAGTAAGATTAGCTTTTTTAATTTCATAGACAAACTAAAACACAAAGGATCCTCTTTTAGCTCTCTCTTTAGCCGTATGTCTCTTATTCTTAGGAGATCTTCCTCCACTAGCAGGTTTTTTCGAAAAACTTCATTTATTTTGGTGTGGATGGCAGGCAAGCTTATATTCCTTGGTTTCAATAGGACTCCTTTATTTTTATTTTTTTTGTATAAATTGAAGTATTTAGTTCAATTTTTAAATTTTCTCGCTCAAGTTAAAGTTTCTTTTCTTCGCCATATGCAAGTGGAGTTGTGCATAATGTGAATAAGCTAGAAGGAAGAGGAAAGAAATTGTTAGGAGCATTTTCGTTTTTCTTTTTCTTTTTTTTTTTGGAAAAAGTGGAAGATACATTACCAACCATACAAATTTACAACACTTACAGCAGTTGAGGTCCAATGACAAAAAAGATCAAAAGAAAATATGGACTCCAAAACAAAGCCCAAACCAAAAGTTTGAGCCCAGAAACAAAAACCCTAACTTTCTTGCAACAGCCGCCGATGCGTCATCGTAGATCCTCCGCTCAATAAACGCCCAAATCCAGCCAAGCAATTCCACAAAAATGATGGACATACAACTCCAACAACCTTCCCAAAGCACCATGGATGATAGATATGTAGAAAACACAGGAAGCTGATGGGATAACTCATCAGCAACAATGTCTCCGAAGACAACAAAGTCATCGAAGATAAATCCGTAGGAGGTGGTGGTGTAAACACCCGAGCCAGAGCAACCAGAGCTTTATGCACATCCCGAGAAAATCGCGACAAAGTGGCTGCAAATTTAAGATCAAATGGGTTTGCAGAGGGCCAAGGAGATGAAGGATTGAAACTATGGTGA